AATCAGGCAGCACACTAAGAAATGAGTCTTAAGAACTTGTAAAATAATAATAGTGTGAGATATCTGTTAGTAAGTTAAGTGTCCTAAGGTCAAAGTCTGAGATTTCCAATTAGGAAAGTGGTTGCTACTATGCACTGATAACACTCTTGCACTCTCAGAGCAACAAAATCCAACAACACAGAAGAGTAAGCAATATGCCTATAACCAGGGCCTAATTTTTTGAGTAAGTACACTATTAGAAGCACCCTTAATCTCATGACAGAAAATGTAGAAGGTTTTATTAAAGTTAAAAACTGATACATATAAAGAAACAATTATTTTAAGACTAAAAGCCTTCTTCAGCTTATTTTGTCTATGATTTTGAAACTTCATATAACATCTCAGGAGAGACTTAGCCTTTTCATTAAAGGTAGGAACCTATATTCCTCAAGACTGTTGGAGGCTTATTTTATGTGTGTATGTGTGGTACATTGTTTAGTTGGTGTATTAGCTTGAATTCAGGATGCAACTATCTTCCATCTGTTGGTCAATAATACATATATCAAATATTTGGCTTCAGTTTGATGATATTGCAACTTATCCAAGAAGGCTTTCATCCTGGGAAACTAAGAAATTTAGTAAAGCTACAGCATCTGTTTTACTAGCATGTAAGGTATTAGCAGCTAACAAAAATTAACCAGTACTGAATTAGTACAGACACCTGAGGTGGAGAAAATTCTTTAAGCTTTCTTATAAATGCCTAGAGAATACAGTACATGAATCTTTGAATCCCTGGGGAATCAATTGACACAAAAATCTAAAGCTTCCATAGGTAGACTAAGCAAGAACCTTGACTCCTTAGGTAAAGGTAAAGGTAAAAAAACTGAACATGTCTATTAGAGAAAAATATTTAACTGACTCGGCTACAGCAGGTAAGAGGGTGGCAAGATTGAGTACCATAGTTGTTAGAGGAATTATCTCTCTTAGATTATATACAAATCTATAAACAAATTTACTTCATTGCCATTTTTTCCTTTCTGACAGATAATATGGGAAAAATATAAGGTAAATGCCCTTTTTATTATTTATTTATTTATTTATTTATTTATTTATTTATTTACTTTTAAAGATTTTATTTCTTAATTTTAGAGAGAGAGAGAGGGAGAGAGAGGCAGAGGCACAGACAGAGGGAGAAGCAGGCCCCATGCATGGAGCCTGACGTGGGACTCAATCCCGGGTCTCCGGGATCACGTCCTGGGCTGAAGGCAGCGCCAAACTGCTGAGCCACCCAGGCTTCCCTAAATGCCCTTTTTAAATTACACCCTGTTTATGCAGTTTTCTGATTGCTTGTTATATACACTTGATCTAGAAATAGATAACATGTCCTATATGTGGCCATGTTTTTTTTTATTGTAATTTACAACAATGGAATCAATCCCTTTTAATAAACTACTATAATTTGTTCTGGGGTCCCATTAAGATAGATCTATTTTCTGTAATTTGGGTGTAACTCAGCGTTGGATGAGACTGCCACTTTCCCACAGCCTATCCTTTTGTTTCAGAAAGTATGTAAGATGTTCCAAAAACACTACACCCATGGTATGGGATATCATAGCCTGTAGTTTACACAACTAGACGGCAGTTTCCTTCCTGACCGATTATGAAGCACATTCAGAGACAAGACGTATTCTTCTATGGGAAGACCTACTTGTACAGAAACTTTAGAAGAGAAAAATCAGGTAGAAGATTGTCCAAAAACACCCACACCTTGGGTGTTTTTCTGGGTTAGGGAAAACAAGAAAGATCAATAGAATTTGCAGAATTCATGGCTTCAGCATACACACGCACACACAAACACGGAAAAGATTAAGTTCGGGAAAATAAACAGACCTATACATTTATCCCATTCTCAGTTTTGGGGTTCCTTCATTTTTGCACATTTACCTCAATTTGCCCATTAGTTTTGCACAATTTGCCAATTATTTCCTGTCTGAATTATTCCTGGGGTGGGGAGGATCTTGTTGAGAAGGTGGTAAAGATTCGGTGAAACTGTAACCCTTACATCATCCTCAGTCTCTTCCTTTTTCCAACATCTTGACTTTCCAATAAGGACTTCCTGACTTTACAGTATAGCTTTCCTTCTTTCTTTGTTGGTGGCCCCAAATAAAGGGGTTTGTGAATTATTATGACTTATTCACAATATCTTTTGTGAATAATTGTAAGTAGGCAGCTAATTGCAGTCTTCAGCTTATGCTTATATTTCTTTTTTTTTATTTAAAATTTTTTTTTTATTTATTTATGATAGTCACACAGAGAGAGAGAGGGAGAGGGAGAGAGAGGCAGAGACACAGGCAGAGGGAGAAGCAGGCTCCATGCACTGGGAGCCCGACGTGGGATTCGATCCCGGGTCTCCAGGATCGGGCCCTGGGCCAAAGGCAGGCGCTAAACCGCTGCGCCACCCAGGGATCCCTTATGCTTATATTTCTATGCATTTTTTTCTAGAACTTGGTTACTGCCACTAGTATCTGAGAAACTATCTTTCCTTGCTATCAACTTACTTTTTCTCCCAATTTTGTTGAATTTCTGGAAACAAATACCATAAAATGGAGATGCTCAACAGTCTGTTATAATTCTCACATGGATTTAAATATTTAAATTTAGAAAATACCTCAGTGAAAATCAGTGAGGGACTCATCCAGGTTCTACAGTATTTAACTTCTCTTGGTTCATCTTCTGTAGAAATATTTCTGGGACTCCTGCCAGCAGTCCCTCAAGTGGGTTTCTAGGGTACAAAGAATAGGCTGAGTTGTGCAGGAAGTGTATAGTTGGATTCCTGTGGAGTTGTTACCTACTCCCTGATGTGGGTCTTACCATTTTGCTTCCATTGTGCCTTTTCTTTTGTCAAAGAATGTCAACTGAAGGCAAAAATCCATGTAGCAGTCAGTATGCATCCCCATGTACAGGGCTTTCAATTGAAAACAAACTTCAGAGTACCTCAGGAAATTTTGGTGGATATCTCCAGAGCATTTGAATTCTTAGAATAGCTTAGTTGGGGTAAAGGACATATGGACTCTTACCATTTTCAGTTCTTGCAGCAGTCTTGGATGCATTCTAAATGGCATTTGAGTTGCTGGAATTACAAAGAATAGGGCTGCTATACTGTATATTGAAATTAAAAATAAGTTGGTTTCTTTTTTTTAAGATTTTATTTATTTATTTATTCATGAGAGACACAAAGAGAGAGAAGCAGAGACAAGCAGAGAGAGAAGCAGGCTCCATGCAGTAGCCTGATGTGGGACCCAATCCGGGACTCCAGGACCACACCCTGGGCCGAAGGCAAGCACTAAGCTGCTGAGTCATCCAGGGATCCCCAATAAGTTGGTTTCTATGGTACTATACTTCAGTTCTAATTTTGCCATTTAATGGCATACCTGTTTTATTCCATTTTTTAAATTTACTAGGGAAATCACTGTCTAATTTGATGCATTCATTCTGACAGTATCTTCTCCAAATTTGTGATGACTACTTGTTTTTATTATATCTCGCTTTCATAGCTATGTTTTCATAGCCTAGAACACTCTTACATCCTTTCCTAAGAATGGCACCTATGCTGGTGTCAGCACAATTTTTATGTTCTCAAATTTTCTTATGACCCCAAACCATGGTATTCCCATTATAGATCTATTTGATCCTGAAAATTCTAACTGGAGTTGGCATTCTAAAATCCTTGTGATAAAGTGGATTAGAGTTTGAGAAGATTCAGCAAAGAGTCTGGATAGCTTCCATGTGTCTGTAGTGCATAATATCAGAAGGCACTCTTCTTCAGTAGTCTTTATTTAAGAGGACAGGAGTAGGAGAGTAGTCAAAGTTGAAAACTATCTCTTGGGAACTGTTCCTAAATAGTAAATAGTATATCAAGAAGCTTCTAATTTTATTGATTGTTATATCTATGGGCAAACAAATATCTGACTCTCAATCCTTTGGCCAAAATTGTCAGGAGACTTAAATATTCTTAGTTCAAAAATGACCCATAAATGCAATACATTAAAAACAAAGTACAGGATGATTGGGTGGCTCAGTGGTTGAGTGTCTGCCTTTAGCTCAGGGTGTGATCCCGGGATCCTTGGATTAAGTCCCACATTGGGCTCCCCAGAGGGAGCCTGTTTCTCCCTCTGCCTATGTCTCTGCCTCTCTCTGTGTGTCTCTCATGAATAAATAAAATCTTTAAAAAATAAAATAAAAACATAAAGTAACATAATGGCTGTTTTTAGTTGAGCATTTAGACTCAAGCCAATATTACATCTTAGAAATGTTAAATGAATCATAAAAATGTCTCAACTTTCAGTTAAAGCAAACTCAGGTGAAAAATGAAATTCTTTTGTTGAAGATCCCACCATACACATGACCTTGGGAGAAAAGGAACCCATCATAATTGTTATGTTGTTGAAAAGAATGAACATAAATGCCCTAGAAGTAAGTCTTCACTAGTTTAAAAATCAATTTGAAACTTCAAACAAACTTTGAAACTTTACTAAAGATAACTAGCCGTAATTCATGTAATATTGCATATCATGTCAGTTCAGATTACTGCCATACACAATATAAAAAAGAAGTAAAGTATAATTTCCCAAAAAAATAGGAGACTAAGCATCAAAATTCAGTTATATAAAAGAGTATTTCTGGGATCCCTGGGTGGTGCAGCGGTTTGGCGCCTGCCTTTGGCCCAGGGCGCGATCCTGGAGACCCGGGATCGAGTCCCACATCGGGCTCCCAGTGCATGGAGCCTGCTTCTCTCTCTGCCTGTGTCTCTGCCTCTCTCTTTCTCTCTCTCTCTGTGTGACTATCATAAATAAATAAATTTAAAAAAAAGAGTATTTCTCACTTGGAAGGAGAAAGGATGAGGTGGATGAACAAGTTTTCTACAGTGGATTTATTAACTGAAGCCCATCATTACAATTTCCACTCTAATGAAGCTAAGAAGCCCATCCTACACTTCACAATATGGAATTATCATTCTTTCTGGGCCCCAATGTAATCCTTATGAACATGATTTTTATGTTATCACACCTCCTCAGGACATCAACATTCATTCAAATCATGGTACAACATGGTACATGTTTCCATGTACAACTTCTTTTTCCTGAAAACTCTCAAACTATGGATGGTATCCTTAATCTCTAGTCCCCAGTGAACTGGATATATGATCAATTCAGTCCAGAGGAACTGGGTAGTTAATTGTGCTCTAGAGGAAGTGAGCTAAATGGTTCTCTTCTCCATTTGCCTTTGTCTATGAGGACAGGGTTGGGACAATAGTCAAAGATGAAATATATAATATCTGCACTGTTCATGTGTTCCTCTGTGGTTCCTACGTGAGAGACATTAGTTGCCTTACTCAAAAGGGCCACATTCCTTGAGTATAGATCAGAGGTTCACTAAGCATAGTCAAGTCAGAGCAAATAAAGTACCTTGGTCTCAAAACCTATCAGGAGTATTTATACAGAAACAATATCTTACTAGTAACCAGTCCTTATATCTTCTGGTATCTTCCAGGATGCCAGAGCAGAAAAAAGAATGGCATCACTCATAGCATATGTTTTCTTTCTAAAGTAAACCTAATGATAGCAGGTGATAATAAGAAGCTAGGTATCAAGTATTAGGCTGCTTATAATTTTATTCAATCTCATGTATTATGATCAAAGCATATCCCTGAATCTCAAACTTCTGGCTGCAGATTCCAAGGTCCTTCAATTGTCAGTTGTTCATTTATGATCCACATATTTCACAACACCTTAGAAAACTCAAAATAATCTAACAGAAATAATACCATATACATATGAATTTACATCCAACCCAATAATGTATCATGAAAATAATATCAATGAATTATAAGGTTTTTCAACTTTAATCAGAGCAAAATTTCAAATATAAATTTCTCATGAGGATATATCATCTATGTGAGTCACTCAAGGAGAAAGATTAGCCATCATAATATCCATGTTTCCTTATAAAATGAACCTAAATATCTAACAGGCTACTCTTCCTTTGTCTGTACATATATTTGAAATTCTATCACTCTGTAATTATTGAGGGAAATTCAGATTAATTTTAATTTTTAGTAATTATCATTTTACCAGTTTTTCATACCTGTTGCTACTGCAGTTTCCTTATTTTATTATTTTTAAGGATTTGCTTATTTATTCATTTTAGAGAGAAAGAGAGCACGGGGGAAGGGACAGAGGGAGAGGAACAGAAAGAATATCCAACAGACTCCCCACTGAGTGAGGAGTCAAACATGGGTCTCAGTCTCAGAACTCTGAGATCATGGCCTAAGCTAAAATCAAGAGTTGGACACTTAAACAACTGAGCCACCCAGGCATCTCTGCAGTTTCCTTTTTAAACTCAGCTCTGTAAACTGTGGATAATTTATCCCTGTGATAAAAAACATTAGCTTAGCACTTTAGCTTTTCATTCCACATAGTTTAGGTATTTATTATGTGTATCCTTGTACAACCCAGAATTTGGTAAAGCAGCACTATGCTCATTGGTTTAGCTTCAACAAATGTGTTCATTCTGCATGTGGTCATTCATCTTTTCCCCAAAAGTTCCTTGCATGGGCAAAACATATTTAATATTCTCAGTATAAGAAAAAGTAGCAAAGATAGCTCTCCTGTAGATGCTCTTCCCATCTCCTATTTTAGTCCCTCCATTTTAATCTACCCTGTATTGTTTTAAAGTGGAACTAATTTTTTATATTAATATCCAGTGTATCTAGCACCAACTGTTGAACAGACCATAATTTACTCATTATGCAACAGAAGTCCATTTGTTATAAATCAAGTAATCATATATCTGTTTGTTTGTGGAGGTATTTTATTCCCCCCTGGAGTAGTTTACTATCTTTTGTCAGTATACAATCTTAACTACTATAACCTATAAAAAGCTTTGAAAATTTATAATATAATTCATGAAACTTTGTCATTTCCATCAAGATGACATTGAGCTTTTTTTTTTTATTCTTTGCATTCTATATAATTCATGAAATTATACTGACAATTTCCAAAAAAATGTAACAGGATTTGGATTTGGAATGCTATTGCATTGAATCTTTAAAATGAATTTGGGGGAAGGAATTAAAATCTATATGTACCGAATCTGCCAATTTGAATATGTTACATCCCGTCATTTGTAAGATATTATTCACTTTCTTTCAATGATGTTTTGTAATGTTATGGATAGATCTTTTCGTATGCAATTGATGTTTCTCATATTCCTGAAAGTGTTATATTTGTCATTCTTCATTTTTAATTTGTTATTTCACATAGAAAGACATATCAATATAGTTATTTGCTTATTAATACAGCATCTTTGCTAAACTCTTAATTTTTCACATTCAGATTAGACAGACAATAGATAGATGATAGATAATTCCCACACACAATTTTGTTGTCAGTAAATAAAGAAACTTATTGCATGCATCAGGACATACAGTATAGTGCTTAATAGAAGTAGTGACAAATTTTTTATTCCCAATGTCACAGGGAAAGTTTTCATTATATTCCTTATCAATTATTTTGAAATTGATTTCCTTTGTAAATTCTTTTTATCTCATTAAGTAATTTTGTTCAATTCCTATTCCCAGGAGATTTATGAGGAATAAGTTTTATACTCTATAAAATATTTTTCCCTTTATTTTTGAGATGATCACATAATGTTTTCCCTCTTTTGCATTACTATGATGAATTACATGGAATGATTTTTAATTTCTTTTTAAATAAACTTACTTTAGAAGTTTTAGATTTATAAAGGATGTGAAGATAGCATAGACAGTTCCCAAATATATCATACATTATTTCACCTATTATTAATATTGTATATTAGATATTATTAACATCTTATATTAGTATGTTATATTTGTCCTACAATTAATCAATATTGACACATTATTATTAACTAAAGTCTATATTCTATCCATATTACTATTGTTTTTATCTACTGCTGCTCCAGGATCCCATTCACAATGTCATATTGCATTTAGTTTACATGTCTACTTAGGATCCTCGTGACTGTACCCTTTTTTCCAGATTTTTCTTGCTTTTTAAAATTTTATTTATCTGTTTATCTTTTGTTTACTCTTTATTTATTTATATTTTATTAAGAAGTTTCCATGACCATGTGGGGCTTGAACTCATGACCTTGCGATGAAGAGTTGCATACTCAACCTAGTGAGCAAGGAAGACACCCTATATTCTCCTTCTTTTGATGATCTTAATGGTTTTGAGAACTGGCCAAGTTTGCTGTAGAGTGTCTCTAAAGTGTAATGTTTAATTATTTTCTCATGATTAATAAGTGGGGTGATGGGTTTTGGGGAGAAAGACCATGAAGATAAAGTACCATTCTCATCATATCAGATCAAAATACATGTTATCACCATGCCTTATCACTATCTATTTTAACCTTTATTACCTGAAGTAGTGTTTCTCAGGTTTCTCCACTCTGAAGTTGCTTTTTTTCCCCACATGCAATTTTCATGCTGTACTCTTTGGAAGGAAGTCAGTATGCAAGCCCAATTTGAGGAGTGAGGAGTATTAATGCACCTCCTTGAGACCAAAATATCTACAATTATTATTTTGAATTATTTTCACAGGAACTATAGCTCTTCTCCACAGTTTATTCATTCCTATATTTGTGTGGATTCACAAATATCTGTTTTTCTTTTTTTAAGTTTTTATTTATTTATTCATGAGAGACAAAGAGAAAGAGAGAGGCAGAGACACAGGCAGAGGGAGAAACAGGCTCCATGCAGGGAGCCCGACGTGGGACTCGATCCTGGGTCTCCAGGATAACGCCCTGGGCCAAAGGCAGGCGCCAAACCACTGAGCCATCCAGGGATCCCTCAAATATCTTTTTCACTTTGGGTAATACCATGCCATTTATTTTGTTCAATTGCTCTAATTTTGACAATAAGAAGCTCTTTTGGTTGGTTCCTGTGTCACTTGACATGCAATTATTAATGTGTGTGTGTGTGTGTGTGTGTGTGTGTGTGTAGTACTTCATTACTTTCCAGTACTATAAGATGTTCTAGGCCATCTTTTAAATTTCATGTCCTTCACTATTCATACTTAAAGGTACTATCCAAGAAGAGGACGTAACAATCCTCAATATATATGCCCCGAATGTGGGAGCTGCCAAATATATCAATTAATTAATAACCAAAGTTAAGACATACTTAGATAATAATACACTTATACTTGGTGACTTCAATCTAGCCCGTTCTACACTCGATAGGTCTTCTAACACAACATCTCGAAAGAAACAAGAGCTTTAAATGATACACTGGACCAGATGGATTCCACAGATATCTACAGAACTTTACATCCAAACGCAACTGAATACATATTCTTCTCAAGTGCACATGGAACTTTCTCCAGAATAGACCACATATTGGGTCACAAATCAGGTCTGAAGCGATACCAAAAGATTGGGATCGTCCCCTGTATATTCTCAGACCATAATGCCTTGAAATTAGAACTAAATCACAACAAGGAGTTGGAAAGGATTTCAAACAGGTGGAGGTTAAGGACCATCTTCCTAAAAGATGAAAGGGACAACCAGAAAATTAAGGAAGAATTAAAAAGATTCATGGAAACTAATGAGAATGGAGATACAACCATTCAAAATCTTTGGGATAGGGCAAAAGCAGTCCTGAGGGGGAAATACATCGCAAAACAAGCATCCCTCCAAAAACTGGAAAGACTCAAATACCAAAGCTAACCTTACACCTAAAGGAGCTAGAAAAAAAAACAGCAAATAGATCCTACACCCAGCAGAAGAAGAGAGTTAATAAAGATTCGAGCAGAACTCAATGAAATCGAGACCAGAAAACCTGTGGAACAGATCAACAAAACCAGGAGTTGGTTCTTTGAAAGAATTAATAAGATACATAAACCATTAGGCAGCCTTATTAAAAAGAAGAGAGAGAAGACTCAAATTAATAAAATCATGAATGAGAAAGGAGAGATCACTACCAAAACCAAGGAAATACAAACGATTTAAAAAACATATTATGAACAGTTATACGCCAATAAATTAGGCAATCTAGAAGAA